GGTTGGGTTGGGTTGGGTTGGGTTGGGTTGGGTTGGGTTGGGTTGGGAGCGGAGGAACAAGACAAGGAAATGAAAGAAGGCAGACAGATGTCAAAACCTCTAAAGGGAACCTTGAGATGAAAACTACCCAAAATGCTGCATTTCTGATTATCTACTTCTAATCCATAACTGTCTGTAGATCCGTTCTTTCATTCAGTCCTTTAGAGCAGTAAACTCTTTGTTTCCGATACGGACTTGTTTGGAGCCTGTGTGCTGTAGAGTGGATCCTCATGTGGGGCATCTAAATGCATTTAACCAGAAAACAAAAGGGATGTAGGACGTTTCGGTGGCCTTGGCTCTCTTCTCTTTACTGCCTGCTCAAGCATGCCACCGTTAAAGTATAAGTTTTGCAGTAGTATCTATTTCTATATTGTCATCCGGAAACAATGATTGTAATATGGTTTGAAATCCCTTTTAAGCAAACCCCGTCTATATGTAGTTATTCCTGATGCTCTGAGCTGCTGTAATAACTTTTTTCTTTACCTCTGAGTAAAAGTTTATTCTATAAAGCTGAAAGGAAGTCGGATAAATCTGAAAAATTCCAGAAACAAATTAGAAAAATACCAAATTGATAATCTCTTTAGATTATTTTGAAAATGTTGGCTTTCGATCTGTTCTCAGGGTGTCAACAAAGCAACACGATAATAGCTTTATTTTATATACACTTGCAAGTATTACGGGAAATATATGTTATTCAGAAAAATTATTCGCTGTATAATTAAGCAAATAAAAATGTTTTAACTTGCAGATCAATAAGGATAAACAAATTTTAAAAATAAGTACAAAAAATTTGGTTAATTTAAAACAATCACAAAAAAGCTAAGCAAATACCCCAACAGTTTATTTTTATTTTTTTTATGAGTGCAATGCTGCATTAAAGAAATTATTTTTCTATAGATGATTTAAACCTGTGAAATAAGTTTAATAGGACACCAGAACCTTTTAAAAATGTATTTCTTTGTGGTTCAGGTCACACAGTCTGTGGCTGCAAAGTCTGTACGGTTATAAATACATATAACTACAAACACTGCCAAAAATGTTGCTGTCGAAAAGCTTCGCAAAAGGAAAGAAAAAAAATCGTTTTCCAGCATATGTACCAGCGGAACCAAAAAAAAAAGAAAAAAAAATTCACCTGGCCCAAACCTCTGTAGATTAGGGGCTGAATCCTGCAGCATCGAAGCACATTCATGTTTGAACGCCTTAATGTCTGCTATGATTACTGCTGTGCACATTTAATTTAATGTTGATCAGTTTTGCTGGATTTAGACTTTAGTGTTTGTGACATGAATCCTTCTGGAAGCCGTCGTGGGGAGTCTCTGCTCTCCGCCTCGGAGTCGCCGCCTCAGCAAAGTGACCCGTTTGGATAAGAAAAGCTTTTCACGCTCCAACCTACCTTCCCTTCAGAGCAGCCCGTGCTGCTTTCTTAACTGTTGACGGATTCTTCAGTCAAACGTCGTTTACACAAATTAACGTTATGTTGCCATTTCTGTATGGATGTGTAAAAAAAAAAAAAAAAAGATTGAAATTTATCGAATAAATTGCAAAGTGACTCCTGGAGTCTGAAGTGATTTTGTCGGGATGCAGAGAGGTTTTTTTTTGTTCGTTTTTTCGTTTTTTTAGGGTCTATTACCTGTGACCACAGTAAAAACCTTGTGTGGTTCTGTGAGTGAAAAGGCAATTCAGAGTGCTTATTATTATGATTATTTGTGATTGTGGCAATTACCTGTTTTTTTTTCTCTGTCTTTTCATTATTTTTGAGTCCATCATTTTTAGTTTCCTTACAGAAGTTTTTCACAGTAGCTTCCTTGAATTTCATCCCGTTTTTCCTGACAGAGATGCTGTAACTGAGTCGAGTTTGAATGGCAGCCTCGTTCCCACACAGCTCACCCCTGCTGACAAACTTTCTGTGCAGGTACAGCGCACCATTTCCTCCTGCAGCAAAAACAACCACACGACAGCAAGCATTTCCTCTGACTATAACACTGGCCAGTCACTTTGATTAGACCACACGACAAGTCGTCAAAATGCAAACTTTTGTTCTTGAAAAATTTCCAAATAAGGTTCATCTCTTTGACTGTTCGTGCAGCTTTTGGAAGTGTAGATCAATCAACAAATCAAACAAGTTGATTTGTATACGACGTTTATGCAACAAGGCAGTTCAATGTGCTTTACATCACAGAAACACAAAAATAAAACAATAAAATTAAATAAAACAACATACAGTAACCAATCGAGAAAACATTACATTGCATTTTGTCAATACTCATGTAATATGTTGGTCAATGTTTCATTTACTGTCCAAAAGCGACTCTAACCAGCCGCGGTTTTTAGCCTTGATTTAAAGGAACTCGTGTTTCAGCTGTTTGCAGTTTTCTTCAGTTTCAGATTTGTGGTGCGTAAGAAGCGGAATGCTGCTTGTCCATGTTTGGTTTTGGTTCAGTTCTGCAGAACAAGCCAGAACAAGAAAACCTGACACCTTTCCAAAAGACAGACCCCAACAAGGCTGACTATGTAGAGAGACCAAGCTCCATACTTTTACAGTGAACTGGTAATAGCATATTTGCTATGCCTGATGTTGCTCAAAGAAATATTTGTCCTCTCATGTTTTCCATGCAGTCGTGTGTCTATTTCCAACTAAATACCTCCACCTTGTGGACAAAACAAATCCAACATCAGTAGTAACTTTAACTGTAAATAAAGCAAGTAAAACCCAGACATTTAGTGACTCTCTACTCTGAGCTTCTGCTCCCCAGTGTGGGAAGGAAGCTAAATTGTTTATCTCTGTTGTTTCTTGATTGTGTGTACATTTTCAGCAGTTGCACTTCCCTGGTTTTGTTTCCCTCAACTCCTCCCTACACATCTGGCTGTCTGGATTTTGCTCCTAGAGACAAAGCTGCAGAAAAAAAAAAAAAAAAAAAGTAAGAAAAGAAATGTTAAGAGGAATGTGAGAGGGTGGGGTGGGGGGAGAGCTGCTGGAAGGAAAATTCAGTACGTGAAGCAAGAGGAGAGGAAAATAATCTGAAAGCCATGAGGAGCAGAGAGAATCTGAATCTTTGGAAAACCAGTGGCCAAACACCGTGGTTTTAATGGCAAACGTTCAGGAAGAGGCTGGCTGAGCTACCCAGAGAAAAATACACACAATGGGCAAAAATAGTTTCCTGCACTGTTAGATTAGACTAGGTTTTGAGAGTTTAGACCAACGACCGACAGCAGTATGGCACTTTTCCCGTTCTGCAAGTCTCCTGCAGGTCAGTACTCTCTCCAGCGGCAATGCGCAGCCTCTTTCTTTGGTCATTTTTTTGTTGTTGTTCTCCTAATTCATTTATCATTGGCAGCTGCGTATGTGTGTCGCATGTGGGTCAAAGTTGCTTTTGTTCAGAAAGATGTGGCTGAAATTCAAACTATTTCCAGAAATTTGTCACATAAAACGGAAAAAAAAAAAAAAAAAAACTACGGGACTTGCATGCCGTCAAAGATGTTTGACATCTAACTGTCTCATTTGTTTTCTATTTTTTGCCTAAAGTATCACATGAGGTCTTGCAGATTACAGGCTGTTATTCTTTATCTTCTTGTTTTACTTCTTCCAACTCAAAACAGACAACCACAGCAGAAAATCTCTAGGTTTCAAACTACAGCAAAACAACAGGAGTGTGATAAATTAGTTGCCCCCTTACAGATTTCATTTCTTTTATGCTTTTATTTGACCACACTTAAGCACTTTAGAGCATGAAACAAATATGAGTGTCAGACAAAAATCACATTATGAAATAAAAAAAAAAAAAGTTTTTTAATGCTTTAATTAATTAAATGGGGGGGGAAGCAGCTTCTCTGGTTGTGTGGAAAAGAAAGTTCCCTATTAACCCATAACCACAGCTGATTAAAAACAATACTTATTGTGTAAAATCAACTTCTTGAGCTTTACATCATGTTCTAATGTTATTCCTTCACCAAAAACATACCTGGTGTGTTGCTTTGATTCTTTCATGCATGTTTGAGAAATCATTTAATCTCCCATGGCAACCATTCATGATGCCTAAACGTTTGCTCTCTCCAAGCATCGCCTTTTTCCACAAAGCTCCGCCATGCAGCAACTCGTCCCCACTCAACTCCTACAGACTAGCAGAAGCAGCAGCAATTATCAAACATGGTGGAACTGAACACCTGCTGAGCTCATCAAACTAACTACTCTGCAGTCCAACTCTCATAATAATGGTTGCAGGCAGCATAATGGAGGAGCATTGTTGTGATGACGTGTTGAAAGGGGAACATCAGAAGGAGCAGGAGCTTCTTAAAGACAATTTCAAGATGGCAAATTGTGAAGTCAAATTGCTTTTGAGTTATGTTTGATAAATTCAGGATTTCTATAGCAACTGAAGGTAACATAGTCACTTGATTATGCTATGAGATGACACTATGTGCCTGGAAAATACCGACCCTGTAACCAGAACCTGAAGTTGACTAAAATATCTAAAAATGAAAAATAAAACATTATGTCCCAATTTCAAGAAATTCAAGAACAGATCAGAAAGAAAGTCTACAGAAAATCTTGAAGGAGAAGGTCAGGCCATGAGTTTGTGGTCTCAAACTCAACCATCCTTTGGTAGCAAGTCCGCCTCTGGATGGATCAAAATAAATGGAGTGGCCTCATCCAAGTCTGACGTTGAAATAAATTCAGATGCTGTAGCTTGACCTTAAACAGGCTGTTCATGTTTAAAACCCCTCAGTGTGAGTGGATCAATCCAATCCTGCAAAGAGGAGTGGAACGACGTTTCTTCACAGGGATGTAAAAGGCTTGTGCAGATTAAAACTGTTTGCCCGGGTTATCTTTGTCTTCATTTTTAAAGTGTTGGTTGAACTGAAACATTTAACTTGCATGAAAACAGCAAAACACGGAAGAAATCTCAAAAAGGATGGAAAAAAACAAACATCACTGCGTTAGAGTGGATGAGGAGAAGTTGCCACTGTTTCACTGTGTGTTTGTCGTCATGCAGGCCCAGTCAGAATGAACAGAATACAGCTCCTCCTGTGCTGTTTTCTACTGTCTCTTATCATATGTAAGTATGCAGAGCAATATGTTCTATCACTTTGAATCAGGACAATGCATGCACACAGAAAAATGTGCCGAACTGACCTACTTTGACCTCAGATGAGTTGTGGGCCAACCAAATATTTATAACTGTTGCTTCTGATCTTTTTTTTTTTTTTTTTTTTTTTTTTTATAAAGGTAATTTCTGTATTTTTTTCTACATTTCCAGCAGAGTTTTAAACCTATCTGTCTCAGTGTTGACTTTAGGTATCAGTTAAATATTAATAGGCGTGATTACTTTCCATATCCATATGGTTTTTGTTCTTAAATAACTTTCTGACTCTCTAGACTTCTTTAATGGACGTAAAGCTGCTGCCAGTTTGGAGTCAGCCCATCCCTTGTCTCAGGTGTTGGGAATGAAGGATGGAATGATACTGAAAGACATGTCTTCAATGAAGACAGTGGACTCAAAAACTCCACAGGAGACATCATGGGGAGCCCCTATGGTTTGGGGTGACAGCCACAATTCGGTGTGGCGCAGGGCGAAACTCTCAGAACGAGGAATTCGCGTAGGCCTGTTGACCCTTGTGGTCGGGACTTACGCCCGGTTTGTCCGTCGTTTCCTCTACTCAGCTGAAAACCACTTTCTCCCTGGTCAGATGGTCACATATTACATTCTTACAGACAACCCCCGCACTCTGGATCCTCCGGTCGAGCTGGGCCCTGGACGGCAGATGAAGGTGCTTCTGGCTGCGGAGCTGCCTGGCTGGGACAGGTTGGCTTACCGTCGCATGGTGCTGTTTGCTGAAGCCCTCTGGGGCTCCATTGGCAAAGAGGTCAACTACATCTTCTGCGCTGACATTGACCAGGAGTTTGTGGGCCCAGTGGGGGAAGAAATCCTTGGGGATCTGGTGGCTACGCTACACCCAGAGTTCTTTGAAATGCCACGAAACAATTTCCCTTACGAAGACCAAGAAGAGTCATCCGCTTGCGTGGAGGAGGACGAGGGAGACTACTACTACACATCAGAGTTTTATGGCGGGGTGGTTTCTCAAATGCGCAGGCTTGTTCGGGAGTGTTCTTTGCTTATACTTCAGGACGAGGCGAACAAAGTGATGGCCAAAGGACTGGAGGAAAGCTACTTAAACCGCTACCTGATCGACCACAGGCCCACATGTGTACTCTCGCCAGAGTACAGCTGGTGGGATTCACCCCTTACCGCCCATGTGCCTAAAAAGAGGCTGGTCTCATTGGGAAGGCAGTGTGAGGCTTATGATATAGAGAAGAGAGAGCTACAGAGGTGCTGAATTTTTAAGAAAGGAAGGACAAGAGAGTTCTGCAATTTACACTCATTTATGTACGCAGTGGTGTGCAAAGTGTTCATGACCTTTGCAAGTTTTCAAATCAAAACAAACCCCAGTGTGTTTTATTGATCCCCATGGGGGAATTGCAAAGAGGTTTGATCTAAACCATCATCCATCATCTTTGACAAGCTACCCTTTCTCTCATAAAGAAAAGCATCCCCACACCATAATTCTGCCTCCACCATGTTTCAGTGGTGCACCCAAGCTGCACTCCAATGTTAGTTATCCATTATATGTGGTGTTTTGCACCCTTTTCCAGGTAACTTTTCCCGGCACAGTTGGTGACAAACTGCAAATGGGATTACTTCAGCACTCGAGACTTCCTCTTGCTTCTCTTCCACGAAGGAGTAGATAACTAACAGTTGTCCTGTCAACAGACACTCCTGCCTAAGCTGTTAATCTGCACAGTCTCCACGGCTGCTTCTCCTATTGATGCTGTCAGGCGTATCAGTTAGAAATCTCCTAAACTTTATCACTGACCTGTCTTTTGTTTTTCTTGGTCTTCGTGATGTTGTTTACTCACTGATTTATCACCAAGGTCTCCACCAAACAGCTGGACTTATACTGAAATTAAATTACGCTACATTTGTGGTTGTAATTTGAGCTAAAATGTGAATGACGGTACTTTTGCAAGGCACTGTATCTCATGCCATTTCATGAAGGTGGAATACGTGGCGTCTCACAAGATAACTGATAAAAATCAATGTAATGAGAATGCAAATATTAATAAAATCTCCATAAAAGATTCTGATTTTTTTTTATTTTTTTTATGGTCTGTTCTGTGAGATAACAAATGGAGCAAGCAGTCGTGCTCAAGCTAGCTGCACAAACCTGCACCTTTGCATGCACACTCTCTCTTCCCCCAGCAGACAAAGAGAAGCTGACCTGTCTCTGTAAACAAAGCACTGTCCTCTCCATTAATGTCAGCCTCAGAGATACTGCTCCAGTGGCTTTGTGGTCGGCAGTGATAAGAGGCAACAGTAAGTGCACTCTTTCCCCACAGTGGCCAATCATTAACTGAAAGAGCCGCTGTCCCAAGGTCTTTAAAGACCAGGTGGGTGAAAATAGACTCAAATTGGGAGTTGTTTTTCCATGTTTTCCACGTGGAAAGAATTTGGGGTTTTGACAAGAATCTGTGCAACATGTACAGAATATTTATGTATATCATCTGTTTTATATATACATATAAAAGCTGTACTTGACTAACTTGGTTGTGTATGCTGTTGTCTTCCTCCCTCCCTCTCGCCCGCAAACACAAACATGCTCCCACGTTCACACATAGACCTCGCTGTCTTGTGTGCAGTGTGTGTGTTTTCTTTTATTGGGCGGGTTAAACAGGAGCAGATGTTTTCTTCTCACTGCCAACAGAATCTGTCCTTAGGGCCAGATCGCCACGTGGAGTGGAGTCGGAGATGAACTTCAAACAGCTCTGTGCTTCACATGGAAAAGTCGGGGGGTTTTTTTTCAAAGTTTTTGGATTTGACAGAGCAATGAATAAAAGCTCTCTGGATGGTCAACGTCAATTTTATATTTCTCACATAGCAAGTAGTGCTTTCATTGATATTTTTATCATCTGGTTTTCATTAATGTGATCGTTATTAAACTGGAATATTTTTCTGCCCTTTTAATGTCATGCTATTTTTAATCCAGAGAAGATTATTGTATTATTTTCTTTAGCAAAGTTTTATCTTAGAGGTGGGGGCTTTTTGTCGAAGAGAAATCCTTTTCTTTTACTGTAGCTTTGTTTCTCCCTGGTATTATTTATCTGATGTACCTCACAGGTGCATCAAATGAAGCATTTAAAATTTGCATGCATAATTTTGAAAGAAACTTCACTTTAAAGTAAAATTAAAAAAAAAACTGTAGAGTGGTATTCTAAATACATTGTATTTAAATTAAGCATATTTTTGTTTGTTCATCAATTTTGCTGAATAATTGTCATTTTTGTCAACTCTGTATACATACCATGTTTTCAATCTATGACTGAATAATTAGACAAACCCAGTACAACAGAGCCGTACCTCAGAAGGTCCTAGTAATAAAACATCTTATAAACTTCTAAATATAAAAAGCTTTCTTTAAAAAAAAAAAAAGGTTTTCTTATTGATTCATGAAGGTTAGTTTCTTTCCATAAGCGATGAATGACTCCTTTTATCTCCTTGTTAACTTATGTTTTATAATTTGCACAGTTTTACTGTTACAAATAACTTTGACATTTAACTCACTGGAATACTTTTACTCTATATGTTCAGTTTAGCCGAACTTCCCTGCTGAGTTTAAAGATTTATTGGTTCAGTCCTTTGTATGTGTTTTACTGGTAGTAAAATAACAGATTACTGACATCAGCATAACCCAGAGCAGAAAACAGCAAACTGGGCACATGTAGGTGAGAGGACATTTTTTGTGAAAATTTCTGCCAATCGTTGTGGCACTGAATGAGAATATAATGTGGAAAAAATGGTAAGAAAAAAAAAGGGACAGAAAAATGATCCAGAGAGTGTAAAATTGTGTTGTGCACCACTTATAAATATTATGTACTTGCCACTTGATGGTTCATGAGATTTTTTCATGTCCATGTTTCACAACTGGTATGAAGTCTCAAAATCCTATGCTTGGTTTAGACCAAACATGTCCAAATAATTCAATGTTAGACTTATTTGTTGCTAGAACATAACTCCAGAATTCCTGATCTTTGTCTGATTTAAGGATTTTTAGAGGCTTCTTCCTGGAAGCGGTCATCTTCCAGAGTGGACCTGCTTGGATGACCAGACCTACACATGTCAGCAGCTGTTCTGGATGTTCCTCATTTGTAACAAAAAAAAAAAAAAAAAAAAAAAAAGATTTTTTTTAAAAAAAAAAGAAAATGTTCCGGGCC